TCAGGAGGTGAATAAATAAGGGCCCCAAATAAAGTCGGATGTGGGGACTTGATTAGACAGAATCTATGAGGCAACACTTGCTTTCCTGTTGCAGGAAGTCTCCAGTGACCCTGAGAGTCAAAATGCTGTTTTGTTCTGGGAAGAACACCTAAGTAACCCGTGTCATAGAACTTGGTATTTTGATACAATCATCATGTGTGGCTTTGTTCTGGATGGTTTCAGAGTGTGAAACATATTTGGTGCCAGCCCAAGAAAGGCCCTGTGGTATGTGACAGTCAGAGATGTCTCTACCCATTCCCAGGTGCACCTTGCAGAGCTAGTTCCTCTCTGTTGGGAAGCCATCAGGCAACCTAGTCAGGAAGTCACCAGGCAAGTTGTGGCAGGTCTTTGCAGTATGTTTAGAACTGGGGAGACTAATGGCACCATTCACTCAAGGGTCTTAATGCTATGTGTGCTTTGCAGAACTGCACCCTTAGAGTCTGGATTAAGATTCCATTTGAAACTAGCTTGCTTTTCTTAAGAGAGTGATGCATTATTTCAAGAGCTGTGCTGGGGAGGCATTGAATTAAGATGGAGAAAGACCATCTTTTCCCATGCGGGGAAAGACCATGAAGAAAGTTCCTGGCGTTAATACATCTCTTTGGGGTAAAGCAAACAAAAGAAATTAGGCCAACTGCTATGATTTGGATCTGGAATTTTCTCTCAAAGGTCCATATGCAAGGGTTTGGTCGTCAGCCTGTGGCACTTTTGGGACATGGTGGGACCCTAGGAGATGAGTCTAGTGGGAGGAAGTTAGGTTATTGGGGGCATGTCCTTGAAGGGATTATCAGGACCCAGACTCCTTCTTTCTCTTTCCTTCCTGGCCACCATGAAGTGAGCAGCCTCCTCTACCATTGACTTCCCAAGGTTGTACTAGACCAATACTGGCCCAAAGCAACACAGGTAGGTAAGTGACTAGGAGCTAACACTTGTAGAAATGTGAGCAAAATAAGCCCTTTTCCTTTATCTTAGGTATCTATCATAGCAGTGGAGAGCTGATGCACACACTATGCTTGGGTAGCTCGGTAAGAATCCAGCAATGTTCTACTGAATCCATTACTTAGAATGAAAAACCCAGTATGAAGGACAAATTGCTACCTTGCTTTCATGGGTGCTGTCCTGTTGGGAGTCAGGGGCAAGATGCATGTCTATGAGTAGAAGGAGCTTCTCTTAAAAGAACTGATCTTCCTGCTTTCCATTATCTCAGGAGAAGCTCATTTTAAGATAAGACATGTTGATGTAGGATTCCTTCTGTATATGTGTTGTTTTTATTGGTTAATGAATAAAGCTGTTTCAGCCTGTGGCAGGGCAGAATATAGCCAGACTGGAAAAGATATATATAGAGAGTAGTCAGAGTCAGGGAGATGCCATGTAACTGCTGAAGGAAAAAGACACCTAGAACCTTTACTGATAGGCCACAGCTTCATGGCAATACACAGATGAATAGAAATGCATTAATTCAAGATGTAAGAGCTAGCTAGAAAAATACCTGAGTCACTTGGTCAAGCAGGGTTATATTTAATATAGTTTCTGTGTGATTATTCGGGTCTTGGCGGCCGGGAAACAAAGTAGCAGCCTCCATCTACAAATGGCGTCCAATGTACATGACGGAAGGACCCTCAAGGTGCAGGCAAGGTGCCCGTGTCCCAGATGAAGTGGGTGAAAGGATCCCTGACACAAGGATAACTGCAAAGCCAGACACAACATCAAGAGTGCTCTCAGTGTTGTGACCCACTTTTGAGGCAGCTGGAAATTATCCCCTGAGTTACACACCTTGATTTCTAACATATCCATGGTGACTTAAAAGTCACAGCTTATTACATGTACTATGGGTAGTTAAGGGAGAGCCCAGCTCCAAGTTCAGGAGAGAACTGTTTGCTTTACAAGTGAAGTTGTCGTAAGACCGACTGACACATGGAAGCTCCAGCAGCTGGTACAACGGAGAGCTACTTGATGATGAAGCAATGAGAGGGATGCGAGCACATCACAGCATCCTGGGGAAATGCAGAGGGAGTGGGCAGCGGCTCTGATGCTTTATCTTATTTATTCATTTAGAGACAGGACTTGTGATACAGCCCAGGCTGACCTCCATCTTACAATCTTCTTATCTTAGTCTCCTGAGCATGGCGACAGCAGGCATATGTCAGCATCCTGGCTGTGATGGTTAGTCTTGATTGATGTGGTAGAAACTAGTAGATTAGTTTTGCAGCACAGACAAGCACTGCCTGCCTGCCTGCTTTCCGGCTGCCACGAGGCAAGCAGCTTTGGTCCTTTCCTGTCGTGAGGCACTACTCCACCACCATCCAGAAACAGAGTTAGCTGATGGTGGGCTCTGAGCTGTGAACCAAAGCCAGTCTTTCTTCTCAAGTACTTGTCGTGGCAACTTACAAGGGAACAGAGAATTGGTACTAGGAGTGGTGTTATCTTCAGGACTACCTGACTACATGGTTCAGAAGCCTTCACAAACAGTTTGTGGGAAGAGAAGTTTGGGGATATGTGTTAGAGTCCCCAAAATTCTTTCACCAGGGCCTTGAGGAGTGATGGTGAGAGCTCAAATCAATACACCACAGATGGTAAAAACTGTTCATGGGGTTCCTAAAGGAAATGAGGAATTTATTTGGAAATAGACCAGAGGCCATTTGTGTTATATTTTGACAAATAACCTGTCTACATTTTGTACATCCCGAGACTTTGCGTTAGATTCCATTTAAATTTGGCAGAGGGAATCTTAAGACAGCCACCATTCAGGCTAGTGCGTGAACATGGGTGTTGCTTTTGGTCAGGTTTAGTTAGAATGGGGAGCAAAAGCAGGGTGGAAAGATGTGAAAACATAGTTTGGTTTTTAAAGTTCATGAAACATTGAGGTTATGGAAGGCATGGTTTCTAAAAAGCACCCTCCAAAGGAGAGAAGTTCTGTCCTAAGACAGAAAGATGCCTTGAAGGCCCCTCGGGAATCAGCGAGATTTTATTCACTGCAGGCTTAAATCGGCTTGAAAAACTTTCCCTGGAAAGAGAAGGCTGCTGGGCTGCCCTGCGTGCACACAGATACCTACAAGTTATTATAGAAATCATTCTGCTGTGCTTAGTTGCCCATTAAGAGGTTCCTGTAGCCCTGATCCGAGGAGGTCCAGCGACTGCTCAAGCTGCTGCTACATGCTGGTGTTTCCGTGTAATACTGGTTTGGGGGGGCCCTCTAGGTATGTGAAAATATGAGGGGAAAGACAGAGATAAAATGGAAGTGCCAGTCAGTTAGATGCAAGAACAGGAGGTATATGTCTCTAAAGCTCCAGGCAGTGAGTACCGCCATCTGAGACAAGCCCATGTGGGCTACAATTCCCAGGACCTTTGAAGCTCACATTATGCTACACGATTCTCTTAGCGCTGGGTTTGGGTTTAGCAGCTCAGTTCTTTCGTGTCTTTTTTTTTTCTTCTCTTTCCTTTTGGAATGAGGCTGTTAGTTGCTATATATTGGAAGTGTTTAACTTGCTTTTCTCAGGGGCTCACAGCTAAGAGTTTGTCTAGTGTACTGTGGGAGATTTGGAAAAGTTATTAAGCAGAGCTATATCCTTATTGTTTTCTTCATTTGGAGGTCAATTACAGCCCGAGTAGATGTGTTTAGCGTGCTGAGAACAGATGGAGTTATGATGGTTTCTCTTGCCAACTTGATTCTTGAGTGGTCTGAGAGACACCAAGTAGTAAGTATCTGTCTGGGTGCTGGCGAGGGTGTCTGAAGAGAGGACTGGCAAGCAGCTCTGTCTGTCTTCATGAAGTGAGTGACGTTGCTCCCCATGCTCTTCAGCCTCACTGTTCTGCTTCATTGCAACCCCAGAAACCACACCCAACCACTGTTAGTCTGGACTGTGACCTCTGAGAACACGAGACACAATAACTCTGCTTCCTTTTCAGTTGTCTCAGTCAGGATAGGCACCTCCCTCCCTCTGCCTCTAGGGTGCTCCTGTGGCACTCCTAATCCGACACCCCCCATCCGACACCCCCTATCTGACACACCTGCTGCCTCTACTGACTGGTTAGCTTCCTCTGAGTGGTTGAGATTGAGGTTAGGGGTAAGGGACTCACTTCGACTGTTACCCGCTCCCATAGTCCTACTAAGAGTGCTCGGGATTATCTTTGCTTTTATTAACAGATGAAGGCCTCTCACTGCCCTCTCTCTTCCTTTTCTCACTCTATATGGCCACACCAGTACCAGGCTGTGTGGTACCAGACGAGAGGGACAGAGAAGGTTCCAGTTTTAAGTAGCTGAAACTAGAAAAAGTAAATTGGTGAGTCCTACCACTTTAGTTTTCTGGTTCTAGGTTTAGGCAATGATGCCGGCTCTCAGAGTGTGTTTCATCTGACAGCACATCGGCAGGGATAGGGTGAATGCAGTGTCCCTGCTGCTCTGGTTTTTCTATAATTCTAGGTGGCATTATGGTGGAGATTCTAGAGTTCCACATTTACAGACTGATTCTGGATGGCTCAATCTACTTGTGAATCTATTAGATGAAGCTGGTTATTGATGTATCCAGTTGACTAAATGGGTTATGACTGTGTTCAAACTAGTTTAAACCGGGATTTGCTCGACTTCCTCAAACTACTCAAGTAAGATTTAGTCGTCCATTTTACTGGAATAGTTCACTTTACTGGAAGCAAGATAGTTTGAATGGAGCCTAACAGAGGACTGCTCCAATCAGTGGCCTCTGGTTGTCAGCAGAAAGCCAGTGCGGCAACCTTGCCTTAGAGGCCTAAAGAGCAAAGTCCATGGTGATATGTATTTATTCTCAAGATCAACCTGAATAGTGTTTAGATTATAGTTTATAGTATGTATTGACTCAGGCTTTTAGCTAGGCAGGAATAAACCCTGTATGAGCACCTTAGTCCACTCTCTGAGAGCTGTGGGTTGATGTTCGCTGCTCAGGAACCTCCAGCCGCCCACCTCCCCTTAGACCACGCAGTCCCCTCACCTTGATCCGGCTGACTGCTTCCTGGGCCTGCATCATGCGTACATTTTTGGAGGGAGTTTTGTCTGAGAGCAGCTGAGTGGAGCCAAGGTAATTGGCAGCAAAAATAATTCCATCGATCAAGTCTTCAGGGTCACAAGGTCCAGGGACTGTAACACACAGAGCCACAGAGTGAATGATGTCACAGGGCGATGCCACATCCTGACGCTGTATACCACCTGCCCCCCCCTCGTGCTCACTGTTTACATATGTGCCAGTCTAAGACATCTTAGAGCCATTTACTATGAGAAATGATGTATTTGCTTGAATATGAACCAAAGTCCAACAGTAAAAAAGAGATGTCTCTTAGACAGGCCTGGAATCCTAGTTGCTTCAGAGGCTGAGGCAGGAAGTTTGCCTATATAGTCCTTGACTGGCACATATGTGAGGCCGTAGGTTAAACAATTCCCCACTTCCCAACACAGTCCTGTGGATTGCAGCATGGACTCTCGGGCAACAAGGGCCATGCCATACTCATCTTTGATTGGCATGCCCGTCACATGTGTCTGTAAACTGTATGCCTGCTTCGGTGAATAGTCAGAGGAACAGAAAGCTGTAATAATGGAAAACACCATTTCCTGACACTTCCTATTTCCTTTCTACCCACTTAAAATTTCCTCCCCAGTTTGGTCTGTGATGGAAGAATCAGATTTCCTATGTGAAGAGGATGGAATATTTTTTTCCTGTAATGGCACCAGACTCCAACTCTGCGAACTGATAACATTGCAGCAAAGCCATGGTCCCATGCTGCCAGTCTTCCAACTGACAGACCATGATGCTCCTGGCTTCACACTGAGATCAATCCCAAGGTAAATCAGATTTTTCTGTTCTCACTCACCAATCCACTAAATTAGATCTCTGTTTTAAACAGAGGGACATCTGATTCTAATCACCGATAATCACAATCACCTATAACCCACACCCCAAATTAAAGCATATCCACAACCATTACATATAACAGATTCACTGAAGACAGATATTTTAATTGCAAGTAAAATATATATTTTCTTTGACTTGAATGGCAATTCTGAGGAGACTGGAATATAACCCACTGTGAAACCTCAGGTTCTAGAAATAAAATAACTTGAAGTGGAAACAATTTGCTTCCCCTCTTATAGGGCTAATCTGAAGTGGTTTTTATTTTCATTTTAATGGTCTGGCTAGCCTTGAGTTGTTCCCCATGAGAAACTGCTGGCCAGAGTACAAACTTAACTTATTCACTTTTCAACAACTAAGGTTGTATCAACACACAGAAATGGGCAGTTAGTCAGAACCTTCTTGACACAGCTGGTGTGTAGCTTTTCCACTGCTGGCCTTAGCCTTTACCCCCTGGTCAGTGACAAGAACAAAGGATTCACAGTTGTTATACTTTTACTCTAAGATATGCATAATTAGAAGGTTTGTGGTCTTTCCCCCTATTTTATTTTACATCCAGTGCCTCCAAATGCTAAAAGATTCATGAATGACCCCAGTACTCAATATTTTCTCTTTGGTTCTTACCTTCAACGTAGGTTGGGAATGAAGCCAAGCTTTTTCTTGACTGTAATTAAGACAAAGAGGTTTCAAAAAGGGCAGAGCATGATGAAATATGCATTAGCACGAGTGTCCATGCAACACAAAAATGGAATACATCACCAGTGGCATTTGCTAACCAGTTACTGACCATTTTTCATTAGAAAGAGTGAAGTGTGGATAAACATATGCATTTACTATTAAGGTTACCTAAAACCCAGAATTTCCCACTGAAGTCTTAAGTGGTCAAAATCCCCCTACATTTCAGAGGGGTGTTTGTTGGCTTGAAAAAATGTATAATCAGCAATAAAGACAATACTCTACATAAAAAACTATGAATTACTAAATGCATCAAGAGCATGGCTGTGTACTCTGAGAGTCAGGGTTCCCTGGACAGTTTCCTTTAGATGGCTGACACAAAGGGATCTGTTAAAAAAAAAAAAATCAACTCTTGTACCTTCTAATCTCTTACTGATTCATTTAAACTGAAAAACTACATTCTGTAAATCACGAATTTGCATTTCTTTAAAATAAGAATGAAAGGTTAAGTTCCAAACACTGGCCTTCTTCATGTGTCAGCTCATAGCAGAGGTCAGCCTTAAGGGCACTGTTAGGTGGGTGAGTTAAACACCTTCCAGAGTCTGGCTGGCTGGGAGTTTATATGCCAGCATGCTCAGGAGCAAAGCTTGCCGTAGGCTCCTTTCATGAGCACATGCACTGGAAACGACTCTCCATGAGAGAAGAGCAGAGGATTTGTTTCCGCTTCAAATGCTTTCAGCACTTAGAGCTGAAATGTGTGCAAAGGACTGCTCAGGTTGAAAAGTGAGCACCAATAATGGCCAACATATGGTCAAGATTGACCATGGGCACATGTGATCATTTAAACATGCTTTTTGGAGAAGGACACCCGTTCAGTGCACCGACCCGTGAGATGACACAGTCTGGGGAACCTGATGGGCTAGACGAGCAGTGGGCTGTGGGCGAGGACTGGGGTGTCACTGCATTAACCTGCAGAGGAGTCTAACATTGGCTAATTGTTAGAGGTTAAAAACTGGTGCACCTCAGCATTCAGGACAGTGACAGGAATTCCATGGTAGACTACACAGGGCAACTTTCAGTAGGGCCCCTGCAAATGTGCTCACTGGGATGGAATGGCGCCTTAAGTCAAAGAAGCTGAAGCTCCTGACTGCTAACGCACGTGTGGAAAGGTATGGCTAGCGGGGCCGTGCTCTCGTCAGGAGAGAGCGTGTGATGCAGAAGCAGCAAACTTCTTCACAGGGGCCAAAGACCATTTTCCACCGTCTCCCTGCCATTGCTCTCAGTGTTCGGGAGTAACGAGAAGTCATTAGCGCCATCAAAATGCCTTAGTCTCCAGACAACTTTAAAAAGCTGATTTGGTTTTCCTGAGCTACTAGGGCACTTCTCTGAATGCTAAAACCTGTTTTAGCAGAAGCTACAGGAGAATTACTTTAGAGTAGCAATAGTAGGCAATTGGTCCATCCGCTCACTCTTCATTTCTTAACTCACGATCAGATTTATTTCATTCTGTGGTAATACTTAGAAAATAGCATACAATGAGGATTTTCGTCCTTATTTCTAAAGATATGCAGAGTCATGTGCCAAGCCTTGAAGGAACTTGGAGACTAACATATCTACTGTCCCTCTTTACAGGTGGTGCATAATCAAAAGCTTAATATTCAGATACCTGGTGTAGACATGTCTTCTCACATGTGGACTGAGATGACCATCAGCTGACCCTTAGCATGAATTAAGAAAGTTTCATTTAAGACATTAAGGGCTAGGCTGAATGCGGAAGGAAACCCCTGTCATTTGGACGGGAAGAGGCAAGAGGATTGTGGAGTCAAGCCAAAGGCAGCCCGGGCTACATACCATTTCTCAAATAAAATAACAGAAGAAATTAAAGCTGAGAAGTCAAGGTTTTTCAGGGGTCACGAGAACTACGTGTAGAGTCCATGGGCATGACAGCCGGGCGTGTGGCCTTACACACTTTCCACACCAGGTACAGTAGATCCTGGCAGTTCAGAGCCTGGGCCGACAGGACTTCAGATTCAAAGCACCACTGACCACTTGTGAGCTGGGTAGTCAAATGTACCCGACTCTGGCAGTCAGAACTAACACATGAGGACATATACCCACCCCCAGAACCACTGAAGGGTTCCATTGAGATTCAGTCTATGACTCACTTGGCCTGGCCTGGTGCCTGGAATACGGCAAATGCTTAACAAACGAAAATGTCTGTTACTGTCACTGCCACTGTAGCTGTCATTCTTCTATTCTTACCCAGCCATGAGCTACAAATAAAGAAAGTATCAAGTAATGGCAGAAACTATGATCCTGTCACCTACGGTCCAGTGGCAGAGTCTGTGAATAGACCAGATGAGAAAATGTATTTCTAGAAAAATGTCATTTAATAAAATTTATACCTCCCAGTCATAAATAGGATACATTTTAGAAACAATTTATTATTCAGGTTGAATTTAACATAAAATTGTCAGCACAGCTGGGCGCCAGAGACGTACCTCTTTACCACATCTGGGTGCTGAGGAAGGAGCAGCTACAGCTGGACCCACTTGTGCCCACACAGTCACTGTGCAGGGAAAGGGTTACCTGGTGTGGACCCCCAATAGGCAGTGCCCATAACCTTGGGCTAAGAGGACACTGGGTACTAAAGGAGCCAGTGGCTCTACTCAGGGAAGAACACCTGCCCTTTTCAAGCCCCGGAAATCTTAGCTACATCTTGTATCTTAAGAGCTCTGTCAGAGTTCAGTATGTCTCCCATGAGTGAGGTAAACACAGAACTTGTCCCCAAGGGACACCTTACATCCTCCTTGTTGAATAGCTTCCAGCCTATAGCTAAGATGAGAAGTTTAGCTCCCCAGTCCTCCTGGCCATGTTTCTAGGGCTCTGTGGACATCTGAGGCTAAGTGAGTACCCCTGACAATACGGAAGGGCCTCGTTCCGTCGTCACAGAACGTTCTTTTGGAAAAGAAGCTGGTAGACAGTTCTGAGGTTCAGTGTCCTGTGATACAAAAGTTCTGTAACCAGCTGCAGATGGCACTGAACACCCGAAATACAAGTGGAATTCTCATATTCAATAACTACCAGACACCCGTGGCCAGTGACCACCAAATTTGACAGATCAGTCATGGCTCCCATTGACAATCTTCACATAGCAGAGGAGAAGAAATATATCTCACCCGGGTAGGCACAGATGAAAACAGTAGCGCATTATCGGGGTGAAGCAAAATAGGCATCGGGAATGAAGATGGTGCCCTACCTCTTTATTTGTGGAGGCTTCCGTGGGGTCACTGGGATGAAGGGCTATGCTTGATGACTCAGCACCCAGAGGTGAGGAACTGCCAGGAGAAGGGGACTGGAACACAGAAGAGGGACAGACAGCAGTGAGAGGAACTTCCTCGGCAAAAACTGCCAACCGCACTGAGCAGACCTGGCCATGTGAGCTTCCAACTCCGTCTCTTTTGGGACTTTTTCTCCCGTTAGGCTAACATTTAAAGAAAATATGGACTTATAGTAGGCATCAAGCTTAAAGGTGTATTAGACAATGTTAATCTTTTTCTTAGTGAAAGTTACAAATACTTAGAATACAAATGTTTAAGCCACCTACCCAAGACAGTCTGAATGGAACACTGAGAACTAAAACTGCCCATTGCATTGCCCATGTCAGTTCAGATGACTAAGGTGGTTTTTCTTCAAAACATAGGCCGCTTCAAATTCAAAGACATTTCAACACTCAAATCACACTGTTTTGGACCATGTCAGCATAATTTAGAAATCTTTTGTCAAATGACAGGCTTGAAAATAAGACTTAGAAGAACAGGTTTGGGGAACACGGTCTGTGTGTTAGTGTGGTGGTGCTCGGTGGGTGGGCACAGGCAGGCGCTAGCCGTGGACATGGAACCTTGGTTCCTGCACACAAGTACCCCCTAAGTACATGTTAAATGAATGACCAAATAAGCAAGTCACGGGACAAATACAGCCTGGAAACACTCCCGTATGAGATCAGAACGTGCCATGTGCTCCGGAAATCTTGGGAGATGAGGGGTACATTCAGGTGGGCCTCAGGGATGGTTACCAGTTCTGTAGTGATGGCATGGGGGTGCAAGGGTGCGGTGCTTCCCAGCTGTGGGTATAAAAGCCAGGGTGGGAAATCCTGAGTAAAGGAAAGTAACACCACTGCACACCTGACTCTGTAGTTGGCCCCTTGGGGGGAAGTTAGGGCACAAGGCATTAGGACAGTATCTTTGCACAGGAAGGGAGAAGTTTCACAGTGACATGGTGCTGGGGGAACAGAGAACATTAACAGACAAAAGAACCTCAGTGGGCATTATTGAAAACTAGGAGGAAAACTTGTCCAAAAAGTCTGGATTACAAGAAATACAGAGGACACCAAAAGATAACACAATGAAGTGCACTATTTAGCTAAGAACATATGCGACCCCCATCTCTAGTGATATTATTACTTAATTCTAAGCAGGGAGGTGAGGGCCCATGAGCCCCTTACATGGTGACGTGAAAACATCTATCACCACAGTCAAGGCAGGAGGGCAAGCATAAGATGAGAGCAGATATAAAGCACCCTAAGCCCCAGGGCCCCTGGCCACAACAAAGCAGCATTGCATGCCTCTCAGAAGAAGCATGTGGAATTTCCAGTCATCACCCAAGAGAGCTGCTGGTTGCTTACTGATTTAGCACTGTTTGACTGACTCAGAATTAAAGTAGGAAAGGATGAGAATTTAATGCCATAGATCTCCCCAGTTTTTCACGCTAAAAAGGCTTCTTTTCATATTTGTGCCTTGATTTTTTCCCCCCAAAGATTCTATGGTTCCCTCTGAGCCTTAGGGAAGCTGCTGCAGTTGGGTTTTCTTGAACTGTTTGCTTCAGGGTCATGGACATACATCGTCATATGGGGCTACCTGACAGACAGCCCAATAGTTCCCATTTCTTCATTTCCACTCCAATATTCTACAAACGGATTTCTTACCACCCTGTGGCACTGGACTGTTGTCTAGTGATGTGGGAAGACAGGCTATCTGGGCAGTAGGCAGGGATGTGGAAGACGGAACCCAGACCCACACACAGTAAAGTAGCTGTGGTCAGTGCTGGGTGCCTACCAGGGAGTGCTGGGAAACAGGGGAACACGGGTCTGCTGGTCACTTCCCTGATAAGAACTTTTATGGCCCCCACACTGACCTTACCAGGGGCCTCCCTCTCCCCAGACACTTGGTGCTGTAGTCTTCAGTCACGTACAGGCTTGGGTGAGTTTCCTCCATCCACAGCTTCCCTTCCTTCTCCCCCACATTCAGTGCTCAGTTCAGAAGCACACCCCTCACTGGGATTCCCTAAATCATGGCAGACCTGTGTTAGAGTCTTATACCCCCATGGTATTGCATGGGTTTTCAACCTTAGGCAAATGAGAACAAGGTTAGGAGGCAAATGTGGATTTGATAATTAATAAAATGAATGCTAGAAAGTTGCTTGTGTGTATGCCATAGATGCTCGTACCCATGTGTTCATCTTGTGAAGTCATCCTATGGCTCCACATCAGGCTTAGTGTCTCCCGCTCAATCCTGAGGATCCTGGAGAAGTTCCCCTTCACGTGGGGTGGCTGAAGACGGAGTGTTGCCGCTGCTGCTGAAATCCATCCCATGAGGACCCGTCGAAAGTCCTTTTCTCCCCACATCCCACATCAGCAAAGCTGTGTAAGCTGCCATTGCATCTTCTGTGTATTTAGAGCTCAGCTCTGTAGAGTCCCAAGACACATACAGAGAGAGGCCTATGCCATGAACCCCTATACTACAGACATTGCTGACATCAATCGCAGACAAACAAATCACAAGGATTGCTGTGGAACCCACTGTAGTCAAACTCAAAAGTACCCATCCAGCTGATGTCCTACATCTCATCTAAACGAAAATATCCTTTCCTACAAAAGTTACCTTATACAGTTTGAAGAAATAGAATGTCACACCAGATGTGCAGACATCATCAAGATACGAGAGGTATGAAAGGAAACATGATGCTTGCGAGGAGAAAATAGCTATTCAGAAAAAGATCCGTGAGAAAGAAGTCTATGCAGTGCCTGAGAAAGGAATTAAGCAACAATCCCAAGGAAGCCCAGTGAGACACGACAGAGATAAGCGGGGCAAAGAATTGAGAACACAACTCAGGATATGAATGAGAAGTTTACCGAAGACAAATCACAAAAAGAACCAAAGCTTGGAAGAAAACCCTTCAATTGGTGACATAAAACTACAAAGGAAGGGACTGGAGAGATGGCTCAGAGGTTAAGAGCATTGTCTGCTCTTCCAAAGGTCCTGAGTTCAATTCCCAGCAACCACATGGTGGCTTACAACCATCTATAATAAGATCTGGTGCCCTCTTCTGGCCTGCAGGTTGTATATAGACAGAATATTGTATACATAATAAATAAATATTAAAAAAACTACAAAGGAAGCTTCCATATTGAGCAGGAGAAGAAATTTCAGAATTGGAGGACAGCTCTTCTCAAAATCCACTTTTAAATATAATGGAAAAGAATGAAGACACTCTAGAAAAAGATGGAAAGCCGTTAAGCAAAACCACATTTGTGCTGCGGGGGCTCCTTCCGCTCCTTCAGCCAATAGCTGCTGAGATATCCGCCCATTGGGGCATGGTCTCTCTCTCTCTCTTTAAAAAAGCAACGGCTGTCCTCCACTCTCTCTCTGGCTTCTGGCTCCGCTTCCGGCTCCTAGACTCCTTTCTTGATCGCACAGAGGGGCTGTTGTCTGGGACGGTAATCTAAGTTTTTTCCCCTTTGAATAAATAACCATTCTATTAATCATAATTCAAAACTGGTGTGGGATTGTTTGTGACTTACGCCTTCACATTTGCATCATGAAAACTCAAGAAAGTAAATGGGAAAGACACTGGAAAATAGTTTTTCATGAGAAAATGTCCCCATTGCTCTCAGATCTTTAAAAATATATGGCCATCTGGATTCTGGAAGCACAAAGGACAACAGATTCAATCAAAACAGACCCTCCCTCCCCAAAAGCATGTTAAGGTCAGATGACAGGAACACACAACAAAGAATCTTAGACTAGCCAGAGAAGAGTCACATGTAAGGAACGTTCCCCAGACTCACAAAAGGTTGCCTTACAGAAACCCCACTGCCTACAAGAGAATGGGACGAGACATTCAAAATAACGAGAGGAGAAAATCCTGCACCCAGAGACATTACCCAGACAAACTGCCCGCAGGCCAGTGTAATAAGAAGTACTTAAGGGACTCTCCTGTACAAACAAAAGGGTAGTTACTGCCTTGAAGACACCTAAGTATAAAGTACCAGAAGGACACATGCCTCACACACAGAGAACTCACCCTCCAGAGGACACGTCTGTCACACACAGGAAAACTAACCCTTGACAGGACACGTGTGTCACACAGAGAACTAACCCTCAACAGGAAAACTAACCTCACACACAGGAAAACTAACCCTTGACAGGACATGTGTGTCACACACACAGAGAACTAACCCTTGACAGGACACGTGTGTCACACACAGAACTAACCCTCAACAGGACATGTATGTCACACACAGAGAACTAACCCTCAACAGGACAGATAAGATGAGAAGAGGAACAAGATCAAAGAGTGAGCAGTGTGCCACTAACAAAACGACAATGAATTCATGCTTCTCAGGAACAACCTTGAGTGTAAATGGATTACAAGCACCAACAAAAAAAGACTGCATGAATGAGTTAAAATTAAAGACTATACACTTACTACATAAACCCACTTCTCCAGTCTAGAATCATGAGACTAAAGTGCAGCCTTAGAAAATAATACATCACACATGTGGGAACATGACCAGGTAGGAACAACTATAGCAACATTTGACAAAACAGAATTTAAATAAAATGCAAAAAGAGACAAATATTGTCATCATATATTGATAACAGGATCATTTTACAAGAACATAAAACTGTAAACATACAATTCAACACAGGATCAAATCTGAGGTTCTTCAGTGAATAATGAAAATGTATATTTATACAATGGGATAGTACTGAGCCTTAAAAAGAACATGGATGGAAGTGGAGGTTGTGTTAAGTGAAGCATAAATACCACATCTTCTTAACTCATCTGTGGAAATTAATGACATTAATCTCAAGAAGAACAGAATGAATCTGTGGCCAGCAGAGACTGAGAAGGACGGGGGAAAAGGTGGTAAGAAGTTTTCAGTAAAGGCACCAAGAACAGGGTGGAGGAGTCACTGCTGGCTCTTCTGGAGTTGGGTAGCTACAGGTTAACACAGGCTATAATACTGTGGTGAGCACGACGTAACTACGGGTTGCTTTTGGTCATGGTGTT